CCCCCCCCCCCTTTTTTTTTTTTTTTTTTAATGAGAACTAGCCATTTGCCATGGGAGATGGGGGGAAATAACTGGGGGTCCCCTCGAGTCTCTTAGCTGAGGACACCAGCAAGAGTAGGGGCTTGGCGGAGAAAAACAGAGTCATAGAGTGAGGCGGGGCTCTGCAGGGAAGGCTTTCTGGAGAAGAGACTTACATGGATCTGATCCATCCAGGACAGCCAGGAAGGGAAGAGAAGCTGGAGGCAGGATTCCTGGGTCCTTCTCATCTCTGGGGAGCAGGGGCAACCAACCAGAACCCTTTGAGCCCTGGGAGGGTAGGTACAGGTGGAGCGGTCACAGTGGTGTGTGTGGGGAAGGGGAAGGCAGTGAAAGAGGTCAGAACACATGGCAGACGGGAGGATGTGGGGGCAGCTGATCTCCGACGAGAGCCCAACCCAGGAAAGAGAGACCAGCCTCGCAGACAGGTGGGCTGCAAGAGAGGGACAGACGGACCACCAAGGCCAGGGTCAAGCTGATCCCAGTTCTGATGAAGCACAGGTCTAAACCCAGACGGTGCGGACTTCCTCTCACATCCCACCTTGACTTTAATTGAACACAGCTCAGCTGAAACATAAAACCTGTGCGCGATCCAGGGGGGCACGGAGCTCAGCTGTCCTCACCTTCAGCCAGCACTGAGCTCAGCTCCTCCGTGTGCCCCCATCCTCACCCTCCCCCTTTTCCTTCCCTCATCTGAAGAGGTGTTACCTGTGGGCATCATCGCCGGGGCCACCATCGGCGCAGGCACCCTGCTCACCTTCCTCCTCATCGCCTTGGTGTTCTTCCTCTGCCGGCGCCGCAAAGGCAGTGAGTATGGGCCCTGCTCAGGCCGCTGCCCTCCTGGGGGTCCCCAACAGGCAGGGCCTGGGAGAGGTGAGGGGGTTGACAGCAGCGCTCCCCAGGCCAGGTGGGTCCGGAAGCAGCCTCTGCAGAGGCTGGCAGAAAGCGTCCAGGCTGCTCCTCCTGTCCCAGGTCGCAAAGACGTGACCCTGAGAAAGCTGGACATCAAGGTGGAGACAGTGAACCGGGAGCCACTCACGATGCATTCGGACCGGGAGGACGATGCTGCCAGCGTCTCCACGGCAACCCGTGTCATGAAGGCCATCTACTCGGTAAGGGTCCCTCCTCCCTGGCCCAGCTCTCCCCACACTCTTGCGACCGGCTCCAGCCCAGCTCACCAGTACTGTCGCTCTCTCCTCCCTCAGTCATCCTACTTTGGCCTTGCTACCTGCCCCATATGCTCACACGCTCACACACATACATATATGTGCACATGCACATTCATGACCACATTCACGTGCCCACGCTCCCCAGGCTAATTTCCCTCCATTACAGGACAGGCTTCCTTCACCCCAGCCTCCGCCTACAGAGTGTCAGAATTGGAAACCCCTAGAAGTTTTCTGGCCCAGCTGCCTCATTGCTCAGATGAGGAAAGAGCCCCAGAAAGGGGCAGGGACATACCCAAGCATTGCATGTTAGCGACAAAACTGGTGCTAGAACCCAGGTCTCTGGCCTCTTCCTGCCACATCCCAGAGCCTCTGCTGGGAGAGGACACAGAGTTCAAGGCTGCCCGTGACCCCAGACCCTTCCCCTTAATAGGTGACCTCTGGGTGTGGGGATAGGGTAGGCAAGGGAGGACAAGAGCAGGATGTTCATCTCCTGATGCCCCATCTTGCTGCTCTGCAGTCCTTCAAGGATGACGTGGACCTGAAGCAGGACCTGCGCTGTGACACCATCGACACCCGGGAGGAGTATGAGATGAAGGTGGGAAGGCGGGGAAGGGCCAGCGCACGGGGGCTGCTGGGAACGGGGGCTCTGAGGGCCTGCAGGGTGGAGGTGAGGGCAGGTTTGCGGGGGGGGGAGCGGTCAGGAGGTTGTTGAGGAAACAGGAGGTGGGGAGCTATTGGCTGAGAACCCAGGGCAGAGCCAGAGAAGGAGGCCCAGAGGGCCATGACAAGACGACACCGTTCCCCCAAGAGAGACTCCCCTTCTCCATCCTCTTCTCTCGTTGCCCCCCAGGATCCCACCAATGGCTACTACAATGTGCGTGCCCACGAAGACCGCCCGTCTTCCAGGGCAGTGCTCTATGCTGACTACCGTGCCCCCGGCCCTGCCCGCTTCGACGGCCGCCCCTCTTCCCGCCTCTCCCACTCCAGCGGCTATGCCCAGCTCAACACCTACAGCCGGGCCCCGGCCTCTGACTACGGCCCTGAGCCCACACCCCCAGGTCCTGCTGCCCCAGCTGGCACCGACACCACCAGCCAGCTGTCCTACGAGAACTATGAGAAGTTCAATTCCCATCCCTTCCCCGGGGCAGCAGGGTACCCCACCTACCGACTGGGCTACCCCCAGGGCCCTCCGTCCGGCCTGGAGCGGACCCCGTATGAGGCATATGACCCCATTGGCAAGTACGCCACTGCCACGCGATTCTCCTACACCTCCCAGCACTCGGACTACGGCCAGAGATTCCAGCAGCGCATGCAGACGCACGTGTAGGGCTAGAGCCTGGCCGGGGCATCTCTGCGGGGCAGAGGAGAAGGCTCTCACAGCTGTTCCCTGATATTCAGGGGCATTGCTCGTTGTTGCTCCCGTCCTGGACCAGCCTTCCTCCTCCCACCGTGGCAGGCGGGGAGCAGGTCTCCCGGAAACACCCCGTCCCAAGGATGGTGCTCTGTGCATGCCCCAGCCTCCTGGGCCTGCCCTTCCCTCTTCGGGAGGATGTGTCTCTTCTGACCTGCACTCTCGCCTGGCCCCAGCCTGGGGACGGGGAAAGTGAAGGTTGCGGAGAGCAGAGGGGGCACTTTTTAGCATTCCCTTTCTATCCCACCCCTCTGATCTCCCGTGAGTAGACAGGGGGTCATGTGGAGATGAACAGGCTTTGGCCCAGGGGGCATGAAGTGTAGGGGTGGGTGGCTGTGGTACAGATAGGTGGAAGTGGGATAGCCTGAACAGTCCATCTGTCGTCTGCGTTCATACCTTGGATGCATCTCCCCCACCTTGGGACTGCAGAAAGGACCTTGGATTTATTTTAGTCCTGGCACCGAGTTCAGATCCAGCCCTCCTTCAGCTGGCAGTAAAGTGCCAGTCATCCTGGCTGCCCATGGGGACACCTGTCTGTCTGCCTGCAGAGGGATCCAGGTATGTCCCTTAGTGCTGCCCCCTTTTGCTTCTCTTCTGTGCTGGGCCGGCCAGATAAGCCAGGGGGTCGTGATGGCGAAGGAAAGGTCAGGAACCATGTCCTGAGTCACTAGCCAGACAGCAGGGTGCTATATAGCAGTTTCCAGAACCCACGCTAGAGTGAGCCCCCCCAAGGCCCCTCCCCTCCCCAGTCTGCCCCACTTCCTGGCTTTAACTCTCCAGCATGCCTGGGGAGTGGTGGGGTGAGGGTGGGAGTGCTATAGGCTATTTTTCAAAGACAACAAAAAACAATAAACACCTCATTTGGAGAAAAAAAGCAAAAAAGCTGTAGGGAGTCCCCCACCCAAATACAAGTCGCAGTGGAAAGGAAAGGGGGCATCTGTTCTTCACCAGATTCCCAACACCTTCCATTACTCTTTCAATCTCGAAGCACTTTGAATCCATTTTTAAACATTCAGGCCGTGAGGCCTGTCATCCACTGGGCCCTGATAGGACAGGGAGGGGGCCTGGCTGTCATGCTCTGCTGTCCTACCCTAGGGCCAACCAGCTGGTTAGAGAGGCCACCTTCCCGGGGGCATGGGAGATGTTCTCTTTAGACGGGTTTTGGTTTGTTAAGTGTCTGTTTTTTTCTTGGACCAATCAGATTCCTTCTTCCAGTTTCAGTGCCTTGAGTGTCCAGCTTTGGTTGACCGGCCCTGGGTGGGTGGCTGCGCAGGGAGCCGGTATTGGGAGCGCAAACTCACTGCCAAGTGTTGCAGAGTTTAGGGGACAGATGGGTGAGGGGGCCTGGTAAGAGGAAGGGTGGACCTGGTAAGGTCACGCGGAAGGGCGCTGCAGGCAGCCACGGCCCATGTGGCCCCCCACGCCCACCCTCACCTCCATCTACACACGTGCACGCACGCCTGCACATGCATTCCACATTCTCAGCCGCCACCTCCTGACCAAAGAGAACCGGCGCTCCAAAGAGAACTCACTCCCCTGCCCCGGCCTCCCCTTCCCAAGAAGCAGGGTCTGCTCTTCCCCTTGCTGGGCCCTGAGCGGGCGGGTCCTCTGTTGCAATCCCCAGAATGCGCTTTGCCCTTTCTCGTGGTCGCCGTTCATTAGTCATGTTCGCTTCAATGAGTTACATGCCCATCAGTCACGGGCCATCGCCACCTTTGCGGATGGCTCTGTGGGGTGACATTCCTCTCCATCCCTTGGCTGGTAAGGACCCGCTCATACCCGGGAAGAAAGTAGTTCCAGTTCCAGCCTCTCAAACTGTCTCTGCATCCTCCTTCACTTCACCGGGGGCAAGTCCCCAGGACCGGCCCTTCCAGAGGCATCACTCAGGCTCCCAGCGCTATTCCACCCTCACCCCTGGAAGCTGACTCCTTCCTGCGGATTGCTTTTCTGTGAGCTCAGTGACAAGGTCTGTTAAGGATGCAGGTTCCTGTGCCAATTCACGCATGTTTTGATGATTTTCACAGAAGCCACGGGTAATCTAAACAGTTAAAATCTAAAGATGGTGGCTTTTTAAACAGGAATATTCCAAAAGACATTTACTTTTGTTAGGGGTTTGGCCACATTCGCTTGTTTACTCCTTTTTGGTTTTAGTGCTGGGTCCATTCTGTTGATGGAGAGGAGGAGGCCCTGAGGTCACTCGGTAACTCAGCTGACACTGCAGGAACCATGGGTTTTGGAAGCCAGATACAGAGCCACTTCCCTGTTCTCTGTTCCTTAACACATTACAGTACCTGGGTATCAAGCAAGCTCCATGCAAGGCACAGGGAGATGTCAGCGACCCAGGCCATCTCTGCCCTCTGCAACTTGCACTCTGGTCTGACCAGAATCTGAATTGGGACCGACCTGTTAAGCCAGAAGAATTGCTCTTCTGGGGAGTGGCAGGTGCCCTTGAGCATGGAGGGTTGCTGTCTGAGGCTGGAGCCCCCCAGCATGGTGCCTCTGTACTTGATGTGGTCACTTTGGTGATCCTGGCTGCCTTTGCGGTTTTAGGTTTGGTGGGAAGAGCAAGGGGTCAGGAGACGTGGGACCCAGTTCCGAAGCTGCCATTTACTGAGTGACCTTGGCCTAACCTCTTTAGGTTCATTGTCCCCTATTTTCTTGTCTCTAAGGTGAAGCGGGGAGAGTTGCACAAACCTCGAATTATCCTTCTCTTACTGCATTCATTTGGTGAGGTGGAAGGGCCTGCCATCCCTAGCAAGGATTTGGGAACGGTGACTGAGCAGTGGAGGGATGGGAGAATTGAAAGTTTCTCCTATCTTGAAAGAAGCTTTCACTGTGGGCTTCATCACCTTGTCAGAAGTGTTGTGAATGAATTTCCACTAGAAACCCCTTAATCCCAAACAGCAACAAAAAACATATCCTAAACCTCAGTGACATTGATGTGGGGTTATCCTTTGGCCATTGTGCTGCTCCCCGCTCAGAATCCTGACAGTTTTGCAAAGGTGTCTCTGGCTAGGTCAGGGCACGGTGAGTATCCTTCACTGTGCACCCAGGTTTCAGGCAGCCTTCTCCGCAGGGAGAAATGAAAGCAGCCACCCTCCACCCCGCTCCTCGGGAACACTCCCGTGGCCTGGGGACAGCCAGCCTCACTTACTGAGCAAGGGGAAGCCTGCAGGCTTAGGTGTCTTGAGCCAGAGGGCAAGGCATGAGAACAGCTGGCCTTTCTGCAGGAGCAGTTCGGAAGGGCAGCTGGTAGCGTGAAGAGGGAGTCCAGCAGTTTTTGACTTAAGTTCTGGATCTTGAAGAGGTTCTTGTGATTCTGGATGACCCACAGTCTCCTTGTGGAGGGCCCGGCTTACATCCTAAATCCCAGATCCCTCCAAGTCTAGCCTGAAAGTATGCATGAAGCAAAACCCACCATGGGTCAGAAAGGAAAGCAGCCAGGGATGGGAGCAGCGCTATACTCTCACAGATGTCCTGCACGGGATGAAAGAGGTTAGTTTGATTCCCACCCTATCCCCACCCCGTCTCCAGGCACTGCACCTTCTCCTTGTCTCAGCAGGTGCTGCTTTCCTTATAATTTTGAGGGCAGCCTTTTCTGCTTTACAGGATGGAGCCCTGGAGTCTCTTTCGCCCTGGTGCCCTCCCGTTAAACGGGTGGTGTTCTGTCAGGAGCCACAAGTTCTGGGCTCCTTCAAATGGAATCAGATGGTCTCTCAGTGTACTTGACCCATGTACATAGCAGTGTTGGGCCATTCCGGTTTGGAGAAAACCATGTTAAAGCCAAGAGCCCAGTTGCACTGAACTGGCTCAGTCACTGCCTCACTCTGCCGTGAGGGCGGTTCTCTCCCCACTGCTGCACGCCCAAGCACCCCAGCCTCGGAAACCCTGGCTTCTCTGCCAACTTAGTGCTGTGTGTCCTGAGCCAGGTCACCACTCTGTGCCCCTACAGGCCCTTCTGCATGTCGAGGGAATCACCTGGAAGGCATTAGTGAAGCTTCTGACCCAGGTGGGACCAGTAAGGAGGTGATAATAGAACACTGAAGTGCACAGACCAAGGGATGTAATTGGAAAGGCATTTATTTTTGTGAAGAGGCTGTAAAATTAGCATTTAAGTAACCCATCCCCTTCTCCCTGCCTCCCCCTTATCCCCCCATGATACCTCTCCTTTCCTGGAGGCCAGCCTCTTTCTGTAAGTCACTGGCCTCACTTATCATCTGGGTCCTGACCTTCCACTTCTGTGCTGCTGGAAGAAGATGGAAAGATGTGTGGCTCGGGAGATTCCTCAATTTGGGAGATGGGGGGGCGGGGCAGAATCCCATTTTCTTGCATCACTGTGAGGGGGCTCCAGGCCCTGTCCCTGGAGGAATAATTGCTGCGCAGAAGTCACAGGCCATCCTGGGTGGTTCTGGTACAAGCCTGCCCTTAAAAATAATAACAATGATGATAATAATAACTCTGTTTGCATAGAGCTATCACTCATTCCTACCAATCTCCTGTCCCCTGATCCTGGCTTTTTGCTGTCCCCAACCACTGGCCTTTGCAAGTGTTGGTGGGCCATGGGTTCTTCTGTTCACTTCTGGGGATCTTCAGATGCTTCCCCCGGGGAGTACCTCTAATTCTGGGGAGAGAGCAGCCAAGTTGCCAGTGCAATCAAATTCTCTCGACGCAATCTTGCTAGCAATAGTGACCCAGAAGATTCGGCTGCTGCCTCCAATTACACCAGAATGAGGCCCAGGGCTCCCTGTGGTCCCCTTTTCTACCCCACTATTCTTGGGATTACAACCACCGCTTCTGGCTCCAGTTACATTTTCTCCACCTAAACCCTGATAATAAATGGATCCATGATGATAATTAAGAGAAGAGGAAAAAAAATATTATTTTTGTTAGGACAAACCATCGTAGATTTTTAGCAATGTGTATCTGTGTGTCCCTCACACTTTTTCCTATTCTGCCTTTTTTCATTTTCCTTTTTTTTTAAATATTATGTACTATATTTTTAGTCTCAAGCACACTATATATTATATATATTTAATTTTTTTATATATATAAATATAAATGTTTTAAAAAGTACCATGTTTTGTGTTGTTTAATGCACGAGCAACTCTACTTACTTAAAAGCTTGCCTGATTTGGGGTGAAATGATCTAAGTTGGAGGAAAAGATAGATTTTTGGATTGAGATGGCAGAGACTATATTTGTGTCACCTCCAGGCTGTGGGGCAAACACATTTTATTCACCAGTTTGTGTCTGTTGCAGAAGCCTGAGGCCAATTATGGCAGTTCAGGGATAAACAGCCAGAGGCTCTGCTTTTGGAGCACAGTATCCAAATGTTCTGTGCCAAATCTGATTATGGGGATAGGAAATGGGGGGGGAGAATGAATCGGGGATCCAAATCCCGAAGGATTTGGGAGTGTGAGGATGAACAGGACTGATTTCACTTATTTAAAATGCAGTGGTTTGGGTAAAAAGCAAAGTTATCAGGTCACCAACCCTTTGAACTTGAAGTGAAACAGAATGAAAAAACAGATGGTGCAGCGGTACACACACACCGAGGCCATCCTGCTGAGAAATTCTAAATTCTCCGAGTTTAGTAGAATTTGCAAAGATTTTACTTTACTCTTTTCACAGGAGTGTTTGAGGATAACTGGGGGAAAAAAATTGTTTCCAGATAATGTTTTTGAAAGCTATAAATCACTAAAGAAATACAAGGGTTTATTGTTTCCCTCATCCAGTTAACAATCCAGCAAACTAAATATGGTCGACAGTAGCCTTTTTGTACACAAGGGACACAGAACACAGTCAGAGCTAGGGATGTAAGAGAGCTGAAAAAAATA